CAGCCAAGATAATGTATCTGTAAAAAGGAATATGGGAGTTTACTCGGCACTCTTGAGGCAATCTTCAAAAGGCAGAAGACCCACATTCTCAAAGATAGTTTGGCGAAAATCTTTTTTCAACGAACTTCGCCTCTTCTTGGGTGTAGACGGAGTCGCTGGAAATTGGTCCCTTTGAAATTTAGAACAAACAAACAGAAACCACGACTACCATTATGTGTATTCTGTAAGATTGTTGTAGGCCCACTGTCTGAGCTTGCACTATCTGAACAAGTACTGGACGTTGTAGTACCAGGTGTTGCCATCGACTCCACCCCGTCTTTTAAATCTGAACTACCCATTTCCTACACTGATGACTATAAGATCTAGCAAAACAGTAGCTGAAGTAGAAAGCAGAGATAGCACTGTAGTAGTTTAAAAAACGCTATACTAAACTTGCATTTCAGGAAAACAAGAAGATACGGCTGATTGGTGAGCACAGTAAAAGAAAGAAAGATTAGGTCTTTGTAGAGCAGATACTCATCGAGTAAACAAGCGCTCTATTTTTTTGGTATTTACATACAACTGGGAAAGTTACCGGAACATATGCTTACTGGGAGTGAAAGTTCAAACCAGCAAAACCATTAAAGAAGGTAACAGCACAGTTGAGAAGGAAGATATTTCAAAAGAAAAACAGTATTTCCAATCTGTGTGATGGAATCGTAAAAGAGGCAAACACATGTCATAGTCAAAACCTTCCTGTTTCAAATGAAGGCGTTCCCCTCATCAAATAAAATTTTTTGAATAGTAAAGCTTTTTTTTTGCAAGAGCGATGCAAAGGATCTGTCATATTTTGCAAAACAATGAACCCGAACGAGTTTACGGCATTTGATTAGCCCGCAAAGTGCAAAAATTGCTCCCCCTAACACGATAACCTCTGTTGCGGTATGAATAGTGATACTTAGTCTTATATGTGCCGTTCCTTCAATGCCAGAGCAAGTTTTAATATCTTGGCGGAAGTTAAGCACGTCTTGATGTGTATATGCAAGCAATAAGGAGAGAAAAGAGGAGCGGAAACAACAAATGAAATAGGAACGATATCGCCGTCATGATAGATCGAAGAAGCCAGCTTCCACTAGTGAAACTGGATAAACCCGTTTGCCCGAAAGATGATGAGGGCAGAAGAGGGCGAATTGACGCATGGTATGAAAAAAGGATGGAACTGTCTTTCTTACATGAGTTTTTACAAAGGATATAGCTAATAGTTGAGAGGTTTCAAATTGTATAGAAATTTGTAGGCAGGACACAATCAGAACCAATGAAGTGTTCTCCATATGAATATGAGCTCCTACGGAAACCTGAACCCTTCGCCGAGGAGAAAATTAGACCAACCAAAATGCGGCAGATGTTCACGAGATGCACTTTCTCCAACAGCCGGAGACAGCGCAACGAAACCGCGAGCTCTCAGAAAAAGAAATTAAAATTACATATAACTCAACATAAGAAGTTCATGCACCTTACAACTGAGTGAACCTAACAAATAGGGAGAGGGTTGAGAAGGCTATCTATGGCGATCAATAGGCCCGTGCCGCGAGCTCACCGAGTGCGAGATTTATATAAGGAGCGAGCGGCTGAGGTCTGCAGGTGAGATGCGGACAGGCAGGCAGACCACCGCCAGAATGTGTGCCGAGCCATCGACATCCTATAGCCGAAACCAAATATAAAACAAGGAGAGGAAGGGCCTGATGTGGCTTGCCCCACAATAGATTACGACGTCACAGCAAATACATCAGTATGGATAATATAAGTAGTTCAGTTGCAGATGGAGTAAGATGAGCAATTTCATGGTTATAGACCTCCCACAAACCAACCTTGTTGAAGAATCTGGAAATTCTCCACCGAGAGCGGAAATTTCGTTGTGAGCGGACTGTCCAAAGGAGAAGAAGGACTGTCCGAATTCACCATAATTTTTTTCCTGGCGGCAATTTCACTTTATGGGAGTCTAAAGAGTATACGTTATTGATATTACAGGGACCGTAAACGCAGAAAACATCTGCATCGCAAAAAAGCACTGAAAAGCAAATTGCAACAGCGAAATTCTATTAGGAATTCTGAGAAGACATACTAACGGAAGGATAAAGAAGAAGAGGTGGAGCAATATAATGAGGTCTTCGAGAAAAAGCATGAATTTTTCATCACGCAAAGATTACGGAAAAATCTCTGCGATCAACGTAACGACAAATGCGAATTAATCGCATGGATTAGTGTAGTGATTCTGAAGAACTTTCTGTCACAGATGTTTGAGCAAAGTATTTGTTTACAAAAAAAAATCAATTTAAAAATAAAGAAACGAGACGAAAAAGGATAACAACGTTAAACAAACAAGACATTCGAAAACAAACGGTACGTATGATAAATGGCTGCGGAAATGCCTCCTACAGTTGGACATCTGCCTTTCCTCACAAAAAGTAGAAAATTTTAATAACTTCTATACATAGAAAATAAATTCTTGACGGCCTTATTGACCAGAAACCTCCTATAAAGCAAATTGCATACTGCCAGAAGATCGATACAAGGAGAGAAATGTTCGGG